CCGAACTGTCAAACAGTTCGATACAGTCCTCTCCTAAAACTACTGTTTTATACAATCCAAATAAATGACTTAAAAATATCTATACCAATGTAAAACTTAAATCTATCCTTGCGATGGTTCGATTGGTAATATGCAAAGCTTCTGGACGGGCCGCTTAAATTTGTTAGTAGCCGTCTCAACTATCACTGTCCGAACTAATCCGTCTTTACTAGGTAGCAACTCGCAAATCCTTCCCATAGCCCAGCTGCTTGGCGGGAAATTCTCGCTCTTGAGTATGACTAACTGTCCAATTTTTATATTCTCTTTCTCTTTCCGCCACTTTTTTCTTTCCTGTAGAGTTACTAAGTATTCGTTCTTCCATCGGTCCCAAAAGTGTTGCACCATTAATTGCCTCTCTTTCCAAAGTCTTATCCCAGTTGATGTCGGTTTCGGATCTATCCTAAATGGCAATGGTGCAATCAATGGCTCGCCGATTAGAAAGTGGCCAGGTGTTAATGCCTGCATGTCTTTGGCATCATCACTGAGCGGATAAAGTGGCCGTGAGTTCAGTATGGCTTCTATTTGGCACAATAACGTACTCAAATTCTCATATCGCAATACTTTCTGTCCGATGATTCTTTTTAGGTGGAACTTCATTGACTTCACAGCGGCTTCATAAATGCCGCCTTGATGGGGCGCTGCTGGTGCCATGAAATGCCATTCTGTCCCTTTACTGTGCAAATGATCTAACGTTCCTTTTTCTGTCCAATATTCCAATGCCTTTCTTAGCTCCTTATCTGTCCCAGTGAACGTGGTTCCATTGTCGCTGAAAATCTTTTCACAGCGTCCTCTCCGTGCAATAAACCTTTCATAACATGCGATGAATGCAATGCTTGACAATCCTAATACTATTTCAATGTGAATGGCTCTTGTCTTCATACATACGAATATGGCTATCCAAGCTTTCATTCTATCCTCTGTTCCGACAATTTTGATCTCGAATGGGCCGGCGTAATCGACTCCAGTATACAAGAACGCCTTTCCGATGCGTGTTCTTTCCTTTGGCAATTCAGCCATTAACTGAGACTCAACTCTCGCATTCATCCTCACACAGACTACACATTTATGCACAACATTCCTTAGTGCACTCCTCAACTTCGGTATCCAATACTTTTGCCGAATGTACTGCATCATTACTTGTACACCTCCATGTTTCGTTTGTCTGTGTGCATAATCCATTATGAGGTGTGCCAAACGCGAATCGTGAGCAACAATATATGGATGTTTCATCTCATAGTCAATATCCGATCTATCCAATCTTCCTCCTAATCGCAATAAATCTTCTTCATCCAAAATTGGTCTTAATGATTCTAATTTACTCTTTTCCGGTAAAGTTTTTCTCTCCTTGATTGCAATAATCTCTCTTCCAAAATGTTCTTGTTGCGCTTTTCTTATTAAATATTTCATTGCCTTTGTCTTTTCTTCATTTGAAGGTGGCATGACTCTTTGTATAATCTGTCCTCTTCTACTCCGTTTACGTTTGACTTTCGACTTTCCAAGCCAAATGTTGACAAAACGTTCTACATAACTAATAATGTTTATGGCCTTTTCCAACTTTCCAGTGTACTCTAATAATGGCACGTTTTGATTTGTTTTTTCTAATCCAATGCGTAAGCCATCTCTGAATACAGCCAGCGAATTTACTTTCACCTCAGACATCGCTTCTTCTGGCGGCTCACTCATGATACAAGATTTTGGCCAATCCGATTGTGGCAAAGATAACCACTCTGGTCCATGTAGCCACAATTTATTATCAATCAAATCCGATGGTGTAACACCTCTTGTGAGTAAATCTGCTGGATTATCTTTCCCATCGATATGTCGCCAGCACTCCACTGCCGTGTTCTCTTGTATCGATGACACACGGTTTGCTGCATATGTTTTCAATGTACATGGCTCTTTCTTAATCCAATAATATGTGATGCTCGAATCTGTCCAAAGAAAGTATGGTACTTTCTGCCATTCCAATGATTTCAAAACTTCTCTAATTAATCTCGATAGAAGTTCAGCAGCTGACAGTTCCAATCTCGGAATAGGCACAGTTTTGACTGGCGCTATACGCGATTTGGTAACCAATAAATGGCAATTAACCTTTCCATTGATTTTCTGTGTCCGAATATAAATGCCTGCTCCCATTGCTCTTCTTGTTGTAATGCTTCTTTTCCGAATCTTGTCCAGTAGCACAATCGTCCATGTAAAAATCATTTTCGATTGCTTCAGCTGCTTTCGGATATTTATGCTTGGCTTCTCTAGCTGCTTGTATAACCGAACGAACAACTAAATGTGCTGAAGACTTCATTCCAAAAATAATAACAGTAAGCCAATATTCACGTAATGGCTGGTCGTTATTTTCTCTCCAAAATATTCGTTGTAAATTCCATTGATCTTTTTCCAATTTGACTTGATTGAACATCCTTTTGATGTCTGCATAAATCGCTATCCTATGTCTTCTAAAACGCATAATAGTTACGAATAGATCTTTTTGTAGTTTCGGCCCAAGCATTTGAATTTGATTGAGAGAAACACCTGTATCCGTTTCGCAACTTGCGTCATAAACTATCCGATTTTCCTTAGAAATGCAATGATGTGGTATGTAATACACAATCTCATCCGATTTTGGTCTTTCCGTAGCTGGTACTAAATGGCCGAGCTGCATTAATTCTCTCATCTTTCCTACATACATTTCTTTAATATCCGGATCTCGCGCGAAGCGTCTTTCCAAATACATGAACCTTTTCAATGCAATTTCTCTTGAACTGCCAAAACATGGGCTGTCCGCTTTCAAAGGAATTCTTACTACAAACCTTCCAGTGTCGTCACGTCTGAAATTTTCCAAATAATGTTTTTCTACTTCCAATTGCTCTTTTGTTAGCTTTGATGCCGTTGGTATTTGGTCTTGTTGCCAAAGTCTTTCCAATAATCTATCCAATTTAATCTCTTCCTTAACATCAATGGCCAACAAAGTCTGCGCATTTTCAAATTCTTCTCCAAATTCTATGTTTTCCGAATCTGTTCCGAAAATAATTACTCCTATTCGAGTTTCCATTAATGCAGTTCCATCTATTCCTCTATCCACTACTGAAACAATTATTTTTGCAAAGAATCCAACACCAAGTAACAAATGTACTTGTTCAGGTATCCAATAATTTGGATCTGCAAATGGCAACTCTATTGGGTTCCTATGTTTGAATGGATTCATTCTTCTATCCGGCATATATGGCTGCCAACCCGCCTCTTTCGGCACTATCCAAAACATAGCATCAATATATGTGCTATGATCAAACCAAGAATGAATTCTCAACCCAGTTTTTTGCCGAATCTGAAATGGTTGACCATTTATTCCAAGTACTTTCCTTTTTATTTGTGCTATCCTAACTCTTTCCTCCAATCTGTTGTGAAACAGTGTATAGCTTACCATATTCGGTTGCGCACCTATATCCATGAAAGCTCTTGCCTTTAAAAATTCATTGTTTCCTATTCCAATATCTACAACAGCTGTAGCAAAAAATGTATTTTTCTCTTCCAATTCCAAATCAAACACATTCTCATAAGGTAATGAAGGTTTTGATTTCTTTATTTCCAATTTGTTTGAGACATTGTTCGATTTTCTTTTCCGATTTTCTGTAATTTTTAATCTATCCGACAACAATTTTTCTTTCTCTTCCAATAAATTTAGTTTACTATTTACTAAGTCCATCTTATCCTCAAACAATTTACTATCCGATTTGCTTTCTTTGTTCTGTCCTACGTCTAGTCAATCCTTTTTCTTCACCACATTTACGCTGGCCGTTTTTATTTTGAATGGACATAAGAGACTGTTGTGCTTTGGGTCATCTTGGCACTGTGTGAATTTGCAGCGCCGTTCATCAAAGCACTTGTCCTTGGTGTGCCCCTTTTTCAAGCAATTTTCGCAAATGCGTCTTCTCTCCATAAAGTCTTTCCGAGCATTAAAATTTAATGAATTGAAGTTTGGGCAATCATATAGTTGGTGGTATTCCGGGCATGCTTCGCACCGAAATTGTTTTGGTATCGCACCAGTCTTTCCTATTTCTTTCCGAGACAATGTACTGTTTGATGGCCCTGTCTTTGGGCTATTATCCTTCACAATCGTAATCTCTCTCCGTTCAGCTCGGGTGTGCTGTGAAGCCGTTGCTTCTCTATCCAAAAACTTTAGAATATCTGATACCGGTGGATTATTCTTGTTATTATTCAGTGCCCAGTCTCTTGCCGTTTTTGTATCTAAACGATCATGTAGACCGTGTACGAAAACAAAGTCCCAATGCTCAACTGGATAATCTAACGATTGAAGTTGTCGAATCACCTCGTGTGTTACATTCGACATTCTTTCCAATTCCTGTGCCGATGCTGGGGTTTGCAATGCAGGTAATCTGTAAAAGTCCCGCAAATGTTCTTGAGCAATGAGATACGGTTTGTCGTACAGCTCAAACAAACGTTCCCATGCTTGCGCATAATTATCGCTCTTTCCAAGTGCTTGTGCGGCTGGGCCTGTCAAAGACTGCAATAAATATGATAACTTATATGCATCTTTGATGTCACTGTTTTCATGAATCGCAGCTTTGAAGCGATCACGAAATCCTATCCATTTGCGCAAACCCCCATCAAACTTTCCCCATGTGTTTTGCATGTTATGCTGTTGAACTGGCATTATCAACTTGATGGGTCTATCCTCTTGTCCAGCTTCGCTTGCTGAACGACTTTCCGATACAACTTTCTCTTCCAATGAACTTATTTTTTCACTCATCGTTGCATGAGCTTCATAATAAATCTCTTCCAAAACTTCGATGGCTTCATCATATGCTTGTGCCAGCTCATCACTTGCCTGTCCGATCAATGTATAAAACAATTCATGTATTGCTGTCCATTCCTTTTCCAATTCTTCTTTCCGATTTTTAACCATTTGCAAACTAGCGGTATCTAATCTGTCCGATTGTGCAAACGTATGAATACGTTTGATTGTGCGTTGATATGCATTAAATTGTCGGCCCCAAACTTCAAAATAAGAGGCTGGTTGTGGTCTATCCAAATCATCGTTGTTGGCACCAGCTTTATCATTGCCGGCATCGCCTTCATCCGAATTTACTGTTATTACATCTTCCTCATCCGTATTCACCGATGTATTTGTCGGTGTCTGTCCAAATGATGTGCTCTGTCCAGCTTGTGGATTGACTACCGATGCATACGTTGTAGCCGGTGTGGCAATCGGTGAATTGTGCATTGTCACAGTTGTTGTTGATGCAACTGGTTCAGTGGCTGTTGTTATTGCCGTTGTAGTAGTCACAATCGATGTTACCGTTGCCGTTGTCACCTTTGTACCACGAAACAAAACATAAAAAATGTTTGTACAATCCAATGTCTATCCAAAAAAAAATCAAAAAAAAAATCCTAAAAGTGTATTGTGACAGTGTTGACTCTATCTAAACATGACTTTCCTAAACATTCTATTAATTGAGCTCTCTATCCGTGCATATAATGTAGCTACTTTAAACGGTACGCATACACACAAAAAAATTTGCGGTAAATTTTAATGTAAATGCGGTTACTGAGTACCATGTATTTAACGAGAATGTTTTATAACAATCAATTCATACTCTAATATGGTGGATTGAATGTTTGAATTTTACTCTTATGCGTGTGCGGTCATTTTTGTATGAATGCGGTAAATTGCGGTGAATTCTTATATTAAAGAATCCAAATGACGAAATTTTAACCGCATTGCCTTTAAATTTAACCACACACTACTCAGTAACCGCATTTACATTAAATTTTACCGCAAATTTTTTTGTGTGTACATCTGCTCCAATCTAATCCTATTGTTATTTCACTTGCGCAAGCGAAAAAGAAATTTCTTTCCTCTATTCCTTCTTATTCCAATTAAAATCTATCTTTTTTCTAATCCAGCGATCGCTCTATTCCAATTTATTATTCTATTTCCAATTTGTATTTCACTTTTGTCTGACCATGTGCTTTCTTATACAAAAATATTCCATTGTCTAATTCCAAGAAAAATGCCGTTGTCTTATCCCGAGAAAAAAAATCAACAAACATTTTTTTTTTCTATCCGAATTAAGCATTTGTCTGACTGTACAAAAGTGAAATTCTCTATCCAAAACTACTCACAAACCGATTTCATTCTTGTCGACGAGAACAAAAAAGGTCCGTTAAGCGGTTGTTTATTGTTTCATAAACAATTTTGCTGAAAGCAAAATTTTTGTTTATGAGTTCTGCGAAATGCGCATCAACCGAAAACCGTATTAAACACAACGTGCACGCTCAATGCCCGCTGTGTTCACGTTTTTTCAAGCATTTATGCTGGCATTCACAACGGTACTTTCCAATGATTTCACAATGTCACACACTTTTTGTCGCAATTTTCTGTCCAAATCTATCCAAATTCTGTCTTATTTCCTATTCTTCTCTCCTAATTATCCACTTTTCTATCTTTCCTATTGTAATTTAATCACAATATCCGAATTTATTTTCCTAATCTATCCTTGCACGTCTATTCCTATTTCAACACTGTCGCGATTTTACCCAATTAATTCACTTCACAACTCACCTGTGGCTTTTCCTGGAGTCTTGCCTTTCTCCATTTCCACGATGATTTCAATTAATTGAAGTGAAATTACTTTGAACTGTGGTAAAATTTGCTTTTTGTCGACGAATAATTGCAATTTATTGTCACTGTTGAGATCGCGTTGAACTTGCACAAACAACTTGATGCTTTGAGAGCGTTCGCCGGTATGTGCAATACTGGTTGACGTTTTCTCTCTCTCCTCCTATTGACATTTCGTCTCTGTCCAGTGTGTGCGTGTATTGAATGTCCAACTGATCGTTTCAGTTTCCTTCGTTCCAATTCTTATGCGAATTAAGTATTCACACTCTCTCCGATCAATTTCGCCACACATTTATCCTATGCGACAGTATTGGTGTTCGTTGCCGAACATTCTCAGTACTATCGTCTTTCTTTCTTATATGAATGTATTTTCGCCATCTTTATGTGTAATACATTACACATTTTTGCATGACGCAATCTTTCCATTCTGTCCGAAATAAAATCTTTCCAATCTATCCAAATGAAATATTTTTTATTTTCGTTGTGCCTTAATTTCAGAGCACTGCCATCGATTCTCAATTCCTGATTCGATAGGACCATAATGTATAGGGTGAATGAAATAAAACACAACGATTTTTTACTGTTGGAA